AAAAAAATCAATTTGAAATTGGCAAATGACCAAACCATTACAAAATATAAGAAAGCATGAAAGGAGCTCATAAAAATGCGGTTATCGCCAAACAGCAAAAGGTGACAATGCCAAAATTAAAACTGTCACATTTTATGTCGCGCAAAAACAGTTACTTATTAGCAACAACGCGCAATGTGCAGTAAAAAGTAATAAAGAAACACAAACAACTATTCAACAACATTTGAAGGTTTAAACGAAAATAATAACAATAAAACAAACTAAAAAGAAAAGGTAAAAGCAAAACCTGACGCACCAACAACAAAAATGATAATGATAAATTAAATATTTCCACTGATTAAAAAAAAAAAACAATCACAACGTAATCACCGGCACGCCCAACCGCAAAACTGGCTGCCGGCGCTCAGCTGGAACATAATACGGCATCGCCCGCCATCTCTGCCCGCCCCTCCCCCCTATATATGCGCGCACACACAACCCCTACACAGCAAAAAATGACTTCGAGTGACCACCACCACTGTTCGACGACCGCATTCAGCGCTGATTATTATTCACCGGCTCAAGTTGACTGAATGCGGCTGAGGAGCTGCGGTTTCGCGTAAGCATAACAATCGCATGCGAAAGAGAAATTAAAAAACAATAACAAATAAAATAATCATTATCATAATAATACGAATATAACATAACAAAATATAAAATGAGACCAAACAAAAATAGCCAGTTGTCAGTTAAGCTGAAATAAAAATTGCAAAGATACGCGAGTATAGATGATAATAAAAAAAAATAAACAAAAAGTTGAATAAAAGTAAAAGACGCAACAATTTAATTATGTTTAGCTGGCGCACTGACATTCAACCTTGGCTTGGCTTGACTTGACTTGTTATTGCTGTTGTTGCGTCTACTGTGTTTTTTGCTTCAATTGGCATTGCTGATTGTTGGCCAACTAACTGATTAACAGCGCTGAGTAACCGACCATCCAAATCCAAAATTGTAAAAATTGAAAAACTAAAAAGTATGCAAGCATGCAGCTGGGCGTGGCGACAAACGATTAGACGCACCATTAGCATAGTTAAGAAAATATTCAAGGCAGCAGCAGCGGAACAAGGAAAGACGTGAAATATTTTTTGTGGGGAATTTCAATGCAAAATTTTACAAATTTCGATAACTCTTCAAAACACGCATTTGATTGAAACAAAAACATTCCAGTTCAAGCGTCATATTGACAGCTATTAGTTACAGCCTAATGGTGAGGAATTAATTGATATAAAATTTTTGTTTTAATTCCATGAGTTTGTATCTGGAGTTAGAATTTTGGCGCTTCTTTTTTAATACCGGAACAGAAACATTTTTTTGACAAGCTTTTTACATGACAAAAGTAACACTCGACTATTGCGCTGTGATGTCAACGAAAAAAAAAAAACCGTAACAACATACAAGGGATTCACACCAAACTTAAGCTTCAAGTATCAGGTATTAACTGATACCTCGTTACTTTTTTAAGCAGTAGTTTTTCCGCATGTATTTTGTTTGTGTAAAATTATTTTATTTTGGGTGTACCATTTATCGAATTATCGTGGTGGCTAGCTTGATAATTTGTTTTTCGATTGATTTGTTTCTTACAGGAAACAGTGTATAACCATAATTTAGCAGACTAACAAAAGTAAGCTGTAAGGACATTCACAGTTGATAAAATTACCGAGTAACAACTAGCAGTTTACAAAAACTACCGAAATGTGAATGAAGACCCCTATTGTAAATAAATTGATTTGCTTAATAAAAATTGAATTGTATACGTCAACCCAAGATTGGAAGAATGCATAAATAAATAAATCGCTGGAATTTCAATGAAGATAACGTATTTATCGCCTATCAATTCCGATTAGTAATAACTAAAGGAAATAATTAAAAGTATATAAAAAATAAACCTTTAATAGGTATTTTAAGACAGATTATTTTACTGAAGTATTATTTGAATATCCCAATAATGTTATAAATATGAAAGTTTGTGATTGACGGTGTGAGTAAGTTTGTTTCTCTTTCAGAATAAAACAACTGAGCGAATTTCAATGAATTTTAGCGCGCAGATAGATAAAAAATAAAATCAATTAAATAGTTCAATGCTGAAAGGGTTCAAAAGCGGTTTATTCCAAAAATATTTTTGAAGAGGGTTTCCAACTCTTCAAAAAAAAATTAGAATCAATTAGATTAGCAAGTTCGATCAAATAGTTTAAATTGGTAGTCAAACGAAAGAGATTTAAGAAAGCTTAATTTTGAATATATTTTTGAAGAGAGTTGCCACCTATTCAAAAAAAGTTAAATCAATTTTACTAGTAAGTTAGATCAAATATTTTGAGTATCAAACGAGAGTGATTTAATAAAACTTGATTTTGAGAATACTTTCACGAATGCAGTTTAAGAGAAAAATGATTTTGAATTTTCAAATTTTATATGGAAATTCGCAGAAAATAAAAAAAATCATTTTCCATTTAAATTGCTGGTGAAACCGGCTGTTAGTGTAAAAAGAGAGAGGTTTAAGTAAACTCTATGCCAAAAATACTTTTGAGGTTGAGGTAAGCTTTATTTATAAAATATTTTTAAAAAGAGTTGCCACCAGTTAAAAAAGTTCCAATTCAATTTCAGAAGGGGCTAAATGGAAGCAAATAATAGTGTCAAACGAAAGAACTTAAAAAAAGCTTTGCCGAGTATTGCTACCTGTTTTAAAAATTAAAATTAACCTAAGGAGTTATTAGTTGAAATATTATATTGAACTAACTTACATAAATTATATTAATTCATATAAAGTCTATCTACGAAAGGTAAGTTGTTCTTCATACTTGACGGTTGATTTAGATCAAATTTGGCACAAACATTGACCACGGCCTGAGATATACAAAACTGCATACTGAAAATTTCGATGCGAATTTCTTGGTATTTCTTGCGTTTCTGCATGAAACTAAAAATATTGATTATTGTGGTTTTTGCTGTTAAATGAACTATATTTTTATAAAAAAAAAATAAATTTGTATGAAAAATATAAATAAATAAAATCGTCAAAACGTCAGAGTTTGATGCTGACTGGTATATCACTGTAGTTAGACCCGATGTCACTAATAAGCTACTTCTATTGTGACAAGTGGAAATTTTTTGACTTTTTTGTTCTGAATTTTTCAGCGATAGTTCCTCGAAAATCGGCTTGTAACAAATTTCTTTCCAGGAAGCTGAAGAAAACCGGCTAAAACGTAAGGTACTATTTTTTGTTTGTTAGGCAAATTTTTTGAAATACCACTTAGGTTGATTTTTTGTTATTAAACGAATGGGTACTAAATATGTTATGCAATTCAATGCCAAGCTAATAAGAAGCAAAAAAAAAATTATTTGAATATTTCAATAGTATGGGAAAAAGTATGGCGGATAATTTTATTCGACGCAGGCCGTATATAATGGGTCCCAGGAGCTACTTAACTCTTGAACTACTTTTAACTGAAGTATGTAAAGAAGTCATAAATCAATAAAGTTAAAATTCGCTTACCACATTATTTTTGTTATGTGTAGTACTATGTACGTACATAGCTACAAGTATTGCTATCTCATTTACGAATTTTAGTTTCTTATCTACAAGAGCTTGTGATAGGAGTTCAAAGTAAAAAAAAAAAAACAATAATCGTATTAAAATATTGATAGTTTGAATTTTCCAGGCGCCACAACTAAATAACAACCATTCTTCTTCTAAACCAATCGAAACTAATTATTCACTCGAAACTAATTATTGACCTATCTTTATATTCCCACTTAATTACTGATCAAACAAATTTACCCTCAACACCAGTAATAAATAGCACTAAATAATGGCCCAGCAGTTAATTTTTAATGAATGGAAAAAAGTTTCGTGTCTTCAATAGAATTTTGATATCACTATTGTCTGCTTATATACATATAAGTATATATGTATGCATAGGTCTATAAGAGCGTACATATTTATATAAATAAACTCGCAAAACAATAAATAAAAATATGAAATACCGCAGGACCTAGTCATCGCCCATCCGCAAGTATGTGGATACTTTATGTAAGAAAGTATGAACATTACAGCGTGTTGGTCACTATATGAAAGAAAAAAGTTACTAATTAACTACTCTAGCTTGATTATAAATTTTTTCCCCAGTTGAACTAAGCTAGTAGATAGATACATAAGTAGATACATCCAAGAATCATTCATTGGAACAGTCTGCTGACAGCGGATTTATTAATAACGTTGTAGTATATCATTTACATAAAAGCCACACCACTGCACTCCAATCGATTAAGGCAGTGGCGGACGCTAATAATGTCAACGCCTTCATTGTTATTAGCATTTAACAATAACAAAAAGCAAAACAAAATAATAATGAAATAAGAACATTTAAATAGCTTTCCTACTTTCATGCGTTCTTTCATTACTTCCCGCCTTCATTTCACAATTCCCATTCAACCACTTAGACATTATCATGCAATTTGTTGTTTGCCAGCGCAGAAAACACTTTAAAGAAACTTAACAGCAAGTGAGTGCATTCAACGCCCAATTGGTGGTTGACAATAAAGAAGACTGACTTCTCAGGCGCACGCTTATACTCGTCACTTGCTTGGTTGCACGTTTATAAGCTCATATATTGTATAAATAGTATCTATATAAGTATACATATGTATATTTATGTGGATAAATACATATGTATGTATGTATGCATGTATGTAATTAAATGTACACATAAATACCTCATAGCTACGCTTTAGTGACTGATATTCCTGCACCGTACGTGACACATTGCGTTTGAGTGATGAGATCTCTTGGATTTCATTGTCCAAAATTTGCTTCAACCGGCGCACCACTTCGGTTTCCGTCTCCAGTTCACTGTCGACGATGCATTCCGCAATTGACTTCTCAAGTTCGCCTGCAATTGAATAATACATACATATATACAGCATTAGTGACTGACTTAACCAACAGACTATGTATTTTATGGATAGGCACATGACTTCATACTATGTATAAGTTTATATGAATTCATGCTATGTACATTTATATGTATTTACATACTTATGTGTGTGTAACTATATATTACACGGAAAGTAGCAAAACAAAAACGCCAAAAAAATATTGTTAAATGGAAAAACTGTCGGATGAGCAATAAAAAAAGGGCTGTAAAGCTGCTAAACATGAATAAACTGCATAATTAACATTTGGAAGTGTGTGGAAAAGGCGATGAGGCAAGAAGTCACAAATGACTGTGAACGAATAGAGTGAATGCGAAATTTGTAAGAATGAGCCATAAGCAATGTAAAATAACGTTTTTTTTCGTAAAGAGTTGTAATTCGGTGAAATCCATCATAGCAATCAAAAAGTGAATTTTGAATTTTTTATAAGTTACAACTTTTTGCATTTAGGTGACTATATAAATCGTTAATATAAAAATAAATAAAAAAGACAGGACGAGCACACCTAAGAGTTAAACATTCTAATAATAGAATTATAAACAAAAACTAACAAAACCAAAAACCACATGATCAAGTTTAAATAGCACTGGAATAGCTGCGCTTGATTGTAGTTGGCTTAACAAATGAAATAGTAGAAAATATCAACAACAATACACAAGGCGAACTTAGCACAGTGCGTAGGCAACTGGCTGAGTCAGTGGGCTCGTCGGTTCGAATCCTACTGAAGGAAGTCGGATGAGGAAATGTGGTGATTTCCGAATTAGCTATCATTTCTACCATTTTTTTCAAAATTATTGTTGCTTTTCCACAATAAGTTTTTCATTAAAAACGGCCTCAACACCAATAAAAATGGTTGAATAAAAAATACCAAGTGTAAAATAAAATAAAACTAAGTTAAAATTAAAATAAAGTAATGAAAAATTAAATAAAACGAAATAAAATAACCAAAAATAAATAAAAAGTAAAAATTAGTACATATTAACATAGCAAAAAATTAAATAAAACAAAATAACATAATATCAAAATAACTTAAATTGAAATAAAATCCAATAAAATAAAAGAATGGGTATACATAGGCGCTCTCGAGAACGCACATAAAATTCTTAATAAAACTCCAGAAATTTCTTAATAACTTAAAAAATCGTACCTGTCAATCCCTAATTGACTGAATTTTTAAACCTAAAAAGCATAGAAGCTTTCTAAACCTAGCAACAGGTTTAGAAGAGTTAAAATATAATTTTTTAATATTTTCCATTCCTATTTATAACCAAATCATCGCGATATGCATTCACCCTTGCGATACAGACATACTTCCACCAGAGGCTGTAAAGAATTATTGACGAAAATTTACAATGCTGACACCTACGAAAGCGCGCATCAATACAAAGCGGAGAGCAACAAGAAAGCAAAAGCAATTAAATATTTGCAACACCAAAATAAGTAGATGTAATGCATAGCTGAGCATAAACAATAAAAAAAAGCAGACGGCAAAGCACAAGCCAGACCATGGTAAAAAACTGTAGCTTGCGCGCGAGTAATGGAAGCAGCGATGACTGGATAAGCAAATGATGAGTGACTGGCTAGCAGCTTTGTTTGACTCTCAGTCGTCTAGCCAAACTGACTGTGTCTGGTTATCTGCCAGTGAGCATAAGATAAAATATTGTACATAGATAAATACATAGCACTGAATGTATGGACGTACATATATGTATACATATTTATGTACAAAAGTAAAATTATAGAAAAAAGCTAGCAGTCACAAAAGTTACCATCACTGACAACAGCATGGGATACAAACGAAATTTTCCCACAATGTGGCTGCAAGCGCACTTTACTTAAGCATGAGTTTTGGTTGCATGCCTACCGGCAACTCGCAGCTGAGCAACACTTGGCAATCTTTTATGTTTATTTACTACATGCACTTGCATGTTATACATATACAACTTTATAATATGCAGACGTTATTGCCTCGCTTCGAAATAGTTATATAATTAGCAGCAATATAATGTGATAATAATAAAAAGCGAGTCACACTCACAAGTTGCAGCTAACTAGGCAAAAGGGAGAATGCAATGCTATGTACATATAAAAAGGTTGCATGCCACTACGCTGCTTATGTTGCCCTCGGTCATATATACAAATGTATGTGTGAACTTAGAATAGAGTAAATTAAAGATTATTAAAATACAAAACTGCTGCTTTGTTAAGTACATAGAAGGTGGTATATAATAGCACAAATGTTGGAAAGAAATGACCCTTGGGCGCAAATTTATTAAGTTCATGCAATAATGGCTGCAGCATTTTCCTTTGAAGAACATCTACATACATAAACATATGTACATAGATATGTATGTCCTGTTGTTATTTTAGCATAAAACGACTTTAGAAGATCGCGAGTCAGTATTTTTGGGTTTTATGGCTGCAATCCTTTCGGTTTAAATGATTGTTCTCAACGGGACTGGTATTGATGCTTAATTTCTATGCTGGTGAAAGGGCTAACTTTGTGTTTAATAGATAAATGCGGAAGTAAAATTATTTGCATACTGTCGAGCCGCTTAAATAGAGTAAAATATTATAAATGTATCTCACTTCGTAAGATGAACCACAGGGAGCTTTCATACATAAATCTATTTTTTCATACATTTCAAGCGTTTCGAAATTAATATAGCGTTACTTTCATATCTGCTGCCAATTTATTTGCGAGTTAGTAATCTTATAATTGCATATTTCTAATAGTTTGTAAACCTCTCAGTGAAAAAAATAATCATACAAATGTGAAAGAACGTGGAATTAACTCATGGAGAGAATTTATTGCAACAAAGCAAGTAAAACGTAAATCAACACGCTCATAAATAGATGCATTTGCTAATTGACTGCACCAGTGCACTACCGTAAGCATAATTAGAACATGCGCACACACAAATGTGCAAGTAGCATACATACAATAGTTTGTATGTAGGTGAGTATATTGATTTGCAAGTGCAAATAGAAATTAAATCATCATCAAAGTGCAACAAACACAATACACAATTGTGTACAAAAGGGAAATTGAGCAATTTTTGTCTGCTGCTTAAGCCGCCATCGACTTTGTCGTATGACAGTTTTTTCGCTTACAAACGACCCTATCACGTCGACGTGACAAGGCCAAGCATAGAAAAGGCGAGGCCAACAACAGCGCCACACTCATCGCCACCATCAAGCAATGCCCGTCGATTTCCAAACGACCCCATTGCTATAGCCCAACTTTGTGTTCACAACGCATTTGGGCAATCATTAAAAAAAAATGGTAATGGTAATGCAAAAGCAATACCAAAAGAGCGCTCAAACGTGCCTTCCGCATTACTCAATTCACTTGTATGGACATAAACGAAAGCAGCAGTTGCTCCAGTCAGAGCAGAATTTAAGTGTCCGCGCAACCCTTACTACAACAACAAGGACTACTCTGGCATCGTGTAGGGTTGGGTGATATTTTAACGTCGTTATTGGCGATGTATTGCTGATATTCGCTGTACCACTCCCTAGATTTGCGTGCATGGTACACTTAAGCTCTACTAACTACAATAGCTTGTGCATATATACTTATATTTTCAAATTGTGCACACAATATATTGGCTTTTATGCCATGTCTTCCCTACCCACAACCATACAATCGTTTTTTTTTTTGTCATCATACATACGCACCGCAATTTGATAAGACGTGATGTAACGGCATTTCTTTGGAGAGATCTTTAGATGACTCTTCTAGTGCCTGTCCGATTTTGTAGTGGCTATTCTTTTTGATACGTTTATCACGGTCCTGTGTGTCAGTCGTCGAACTAACAGCCGGCAATTTTCGCACCATTTTCTCCAGTACATCTTTATACTTGTCTACTTGTTTTTCAATTATTTCCAGCTCTGAATCCTTGCAATCAGATTTATTTGATCTTTAATTTAATGAGTAGTTAGGTACATGAAAAGAGAAAAAAAGAAACGAAAAAGTTAAATCATTTCATTTGTTTTGCTCCATAACCCTAGTTCCACATCCTCTATGTTAAGAGTAGTGGCTACAGAACATTACATATTTGCAAAATACCGACACAGCACCCCACCTTAGCACACAGACATTATTTCCACCCTAAACAAACCAGCTGAAGGCTGGGTAGCCCCTAGTGCATCCACGGCTACAAGCTCATTCCGCTTATTGTATCGGCATTTTATATATGTAAATATATTTCTATAGAACACACTGCCACACCATTGTGTCTGGTTCGTGGGCTCATGACTATGAGATATCCAATCAACTTCCAACGTCGTCACCACTCACCTCCCCAAATTCTCAGCTGCAATTTTGATTTTCGTGAATTGTTTCTTCATTCTTGCAACACTTCACAATTATACCGCGCCTGACTATATTTTAGCAATCGAATAACTTTGTTTTGTTTTCTACACTTAAATGTTTAGATATTTTTCTTTAATTTTTGCAGTAAACATAAAAATTAGTCATCCTTTTCTTCTATCATCGACAAATGCGAACAATCAACTCAAGTCAGTGAAGCTTTGTTGCGTATGTTCAATGATATATTTGACACTTGACACTTGATTCAATAGGGTGTGTTTCACGGCAGCAGATAGCTTTGCGCACAGTGTAGTGTGTAAAGTTTATTTGGTATTTTGTAAATTTTGGTAGCGGACTGTTATCTCCCTATATGCAAATACCTCTTAAAACGATAACGAAACTTATAACACTGTAGTTTTTATAAAACTAAAGTGAGAAGTTTCTAGTATTATAGATTAGTTTGAGGCAGTACAAAAAAATTAAGGGACCGTGGCGCCTCCCACTTTCCAACTTAAAAGAATAAAGTCCAAAAAATTAAATTAATAATTTAATAAAATAATTTCTCTTCCGACTTTTTGCTTATTGTCATCGAGTTTCACTTATTGTATTTTATAATAAATACCAATATAATCGCACTTTATCACCGCGCCTTGTACGTCTTCTCAGAAATTTACTGTTTTCATTATTTTCAGCTTGCGTGATCTTGTTAGTTGATTCAGGGTTATGTAACAGCATATAAATTCACCACATACTTTTTGGGGAATGGTGCTCTAGTGATAGTCCTTGGCCAGATATAAACCGTTCCGGTGACGTAGACTCCCTGTAACTCTCGGCGGATGGCCTGCGGCTTTCGGGCTCCGGCCCAGGAACACCCCCAGGATTACATACCTCAATCTACAGAACTCTCTACTCTAATTATTACTCCTATTTTCATGAGACTTCAGAGCGTGTCAGATTTGGAAATGCAATATATTTCGAAAAGACTGTCAAATTGAGAAATTAATAAAGGCAGCTGCATGAGCAGTGACACCTACTATGTAAGGTGTCTTTCTAAAGAGGTTTTTATTTCCAAAAGGCGGATTGCATGGAAAATTTCTATAAACGCTTTTTGTCTGTGTGAACAGAATGACTTTCGGGAAATTGCTTTCTTTATTTTCAATTTGAAGATTAATCTATTATATATACGGCACACTCGATTAGTTTGACAGCAATTGCAGAAGAAATAAAAATTGCTTGTGCAGCACGAGCAAATTGAAATATAATTCCGAAACTGATTTTCGATCTTTCAGTTGCAGTCACTGATTTTATCTTTAATTTCTAAAAATGATTTCCGAAAGGTGGAAATAAAATTTCTCTTTATTAACTTGACGGCGAATCGCGTGGAGAAGTTGGAAATGTTTCCCTGTCTGACATGCTCTTTCCTTGCAGCTTGTAGGAGCCCGAAGAGGAAAATATCAATTTTTTTGTGGAAGGTGCCGGTCATTTTCTCCATATAAAATAATGTTCGATGATGTTTGTAAGGAAAAAATATGCGACAGCTTCTACACAAAAAAATGCCAAAAGTCAAAGGTAAGTCCTGGCTTCCTCATACTTGCACTTTATTATAATAAAATTGAATGGGCTATAACACTGCATACTCAGCTTTTGTCTAGAGGGCGTAAATAAAAAGTGCAATATTTGAATAAAATTTTGTGGAATTTTCTTTAATTTTGCAAACGGTTTGGAATCTTGGTTTAAGGGTTTTTGTTGTAGAATTAACCATATTTTTATAAAAAATTTGCGAAAAATTAATTATTTTAAAAATAGCTGCTCGTATTGTAAAAAATTCGCTGCACCTAAACTTTCTACTCTTCTAAATTTTCTTCAGTGTAGACACGTATTGTAGTTTTACTGAACGTACGGCTGCCAAATTTGACAATTCAATCTGCCGTTTTTTACCGATGTTTTCGTTTGGTACGCACGTGTGGAATAGAAACTTTTTGGAAAATTTGTTCAAGTTTAAATAAAGTAATGGCAATAAATTATCTATAATGACTGTACAACTAGATAAACGCGGCTTGATGTCGCTAATGCGCACAGAGAATGAACGCATTATGGATATGTTGCTGACCTACAACGTACCAGATTCAATAGAAGGCGAGTTACTAATGATCATTGCAAAGGAAACAAAACAAATATTTACAAATGCATAATCATGCAAATGCATGTCCCCAAACATTATTAATTTCAGATGTTCAATATGATGAATATCTGCTCAATAATGACAAATCTGCTGCAAAGGCCAAGCATGCATTGGGTGCCCGCAAAGCAACACCCATCGATGAGCTCCAGGATCGTCTCAACATAATCAAAAACAAAATGAAAGCTAAAAAACGTCCAGCGTCAGAACGTTCAAAAAAGAAGCGTGAAGCTAAGAAACTGAGAAAAAATAAGGAAGTTAAGAAAATATTAGTTTCTGCAGCGAAATCCATCAAAAATGAGCAACAGAAACTATCTAATGCGGGCAATGATGAAAATGCGGATAAAAAGGATATAAAGAAATTAATCCCAAAACCTGTCTTCAATGAAGAAGGCAAAATTGTTTTTTCCAAATTTGACTTCGCATCACATCCAGGTGCTAAGGTGAAAAAGTCACATCAGAACCCACGAGAGATTTTGAAGAAAATTAAGCAGACAGATAAGAAAATCAATGAGTTAAAAGAAAAGGGCGAGGTCGAAAAGGCGGCAGAGATCAAAAGCGAAATTGCCTGGAAAAAAGCATTTGATAAGATTGAGGGCAAAAAAGTAAAAGACGATCCCAAATTGCTGTACAAAGCCATTAAAAAGCGGAAGACCGAGAAGAAGAAGTCCAAGAAGGAGTGGGTGGAGCGCAAGCAGAAGGTCGAGTCCGGCATAGAGCATAGGCAGAAGAAGCGACAAGAAAATATAAACAAGCGCATTAATGATAAGAAGTCAACGAAACTGAAGAAGTTATCCAAAAAAGGGCGGGTAATACCTGGTTTTTAATGGTTCTTATTAATGTAATAAAAAAAATTTAAAGAACAAGCAATCTGACTTAAAATGTATTCAACCTTCATCTGACTGTTCATTAAACTTCCATTCAAACAAAATATTTTTGGAACGTTTTCCGTTATGAAATTCAGTCGAAAAATTTCAAAAATTCGTTGTGTGTAGGCCGTATTCAACACTTCGTCAAAAAATAAACATAGTGGCCATTAAAACCCGACAAAAGGGAAATGATAGGTCATTTCTATATAATTTGGGTACGCTGAAGTTAATGATATTAACCATTTTGCCGAATTGTATTGTATATATTATACTATATTAACAATAGACGACATAGCGATTTTGATTAGTTGGTTTGGGACAATTATACGCTGGCACGAATCGGTTATGACAAGTAGCTCGAATCGGTTTGTTTGTGGTTGTTGTTTTGTTGGGTATGGTTTGTGGAATCGGTTCTCTACTCTGAAAAAAGCAACCCTGGCTAAAATATAAGAAGAAGAACAAAGAAAATAGCAAAGAGGAATAGTGGGCGATAGCGCAATTAATATGGCGCTAGCTCAATACGCCGGCAGCACCTATGGTGTCAGCGCTTTAACTCAGCGCAATAGCGCAGTGTACTGATTTGAACACGACGTCACCTAAGTGTCACCACAGTACCCACCGACAAGTGTTATACACAACACAGTGGTGTCATGCCTAATATTTCTTTAATTTTTTGCTGTGCAACGCTTGTACCACCAACCGAATTTAACTGCTAGGAATGTAGTAAATGCCACGATATTCTCATCTTTCTTGAATAAAGCTTTAAATTCGCCAATATACATAAGTTTCTGGCATTCTCACCACTCAAAAGCAAAAACCAAGAAGTAAGGCGAATTGTGTGTTTGTCTCATGTATTTCTTGGCGTTAATGGCGCTAGCGCTATTCATATCTTGGTATTAGCGCGGCAACTCCAGGAACGGTGGCGCAGCGCAATGTTACCCATGCCTAGTTGTAAATATATTTTGACAAAGTGTTTCTCGTTCGCCAAAACTCATAACGAATTACGTCTTATAAAGAAAAATTTTCCAAATTGAAAAGGCTTATAAAGAGTTAGTAATATACGCGTTTAATATCGCCAAAAAGTGCAAACAGTGATCGCGATCGGGCAAAGAAGCGCCTAGTGCCGAGTAAACGGCAACGAGGACGACCAACGGAGCACAGCAGTGTAGCAAAAACGTGACCACTTCATAGCCACAGTATAAGGCTTCCATTAAAATTAATTTGCGTCCAATAAATTCACCTAGCTGTATAAGATATCAAGCAGAAAGATTACAAGATTGTTATAGCGAAATTAGAACAGCAATTGTTATAGAATCATAAAAAAGTGCAGGGCAAAAATTCAGTGGAATTATGAGTGTTGTACGCCACTTTGTGCTGCTGTCACAGCTGCCAAGATTTGGACAAAATTATTATTGGCTTAGAGGTGAGTCGAAAGTCCATCAAATGTTATTAGATATAAGTGAAAGATAAAAAAATAACAAGCCACATTATGGACGAAAAGGATAACGAAGGTTAGATGCTGCTCTACAACTTGTTTTCTTTTTGTGTAATCATACAAATCTCCCAGATTGGCTAAACGATCGCAAGCGCTGACGTTGTACCCGTGTATGCGATATACATACATACACGATCGTTTTATTATACAAATGTAGAGTGTGGTGCTATTAAGTTTTGTTTTTGTTTTTTCGTTGTTTGCTGTTCTTTTTTAATATACATATTCCACTGAGTTGTTTTTTGTGCCATGCACATATACACCCAAGTGAGAAATGACGTACTGCGCCAGCAATAACAGCAAAATTTATCGTAAAGAATGAGTTTCCCACGCTGAGATTTAGTCCACGAACTCCAGTTAATTACAGATCCATTTATGAATGTCCGGTATGCGGAGAGACACCCCACGACTCGAAATAACCCTTCACATGCCCGCAAAACCCCACACAGGTAACGCCTTTGTCCCTGTGAACAGACCCTTTAGAGGCTGCACGCTTCTTGGGTCTTCCGTTAGTTAAGCTTGACGACAACGACTGAGATACCACCGATCTGGGCGGGGTAGTTGTAACCGCCACAACTACAACAACAAGATTCATTTATGTATATTTGCTGAATAACAAACAATTCTCTAAGAACGCAAGTGGTTTCTCTCTGTGGCAACTGACTCCAATTGGAAATGCCAAGTGAAGCAAAATGCTTCACCACCTGGTCTTTCCAACGCAGAGGAGGCCTTCCTCTTCCTCTGTTACTAGCATCACGATCAGCGTTGAATACTTTCAGAGCTGGAGCGTTGTTGTTCATTCGAACGACATGACCTAGCCAGTGGAGCCGCTGGATTTTAATTCGCTGCACTATGTCTATATCGTTGTAAGGCTCACACAGGTCATCGCTAAATCGTTTGCGGTATTTATTTATTTATTTATTCATTTATTGACAGCCTTTAAAGGCCTATAACTCTTTATTACAGGTCGCACCTACACTTCAGGCTTTGTGGTCATATGTAAAGGCTATAAATCTTGCGTAGACTCTTCTCGGAAAAAAGTATTTAGACGCTTTGTCTTTACTAAATACTGCAAACAAAAGTACTTAGTATTTATGGCTTCACAAAATACTGGATACAAAACTTCTTAGTACTTATGACTTGATTAAATACTAAATACTTGCTATTTACTCAGTGTGAAATTAGAGATTTTCGAGACTAGTTCAGAATTTTCTAGACTGTTTTGAGATGTCTAGGATTACTATTACTACTTATGTTTATACGTAAGCTATTTGCGAATAAAAGTAATTTGCAAACACCTAACTCACTGTGGCAACGTCTTGGCGTCTTGCGCTTATTTGCAAATAGTACCACTAATCATTACTTATTTGCGCGATTTAGTTATTTGACAACAAAAAATTAACCCAGCGTTTATACGGCAAAGTTTACCATTTTTCAAATAATACGTGCGTATAAACTGGCCTTATTCATACAAAATAAAGTAGTCTTATAAAAGGTTTATAAATTGGAAAATGTATGAAAACGTCAATTTATAAAGCTCTTTAAACCTACTTTATTTTTTATGAATAAAGCCACTAGTAAATATCAAGATTTAGGAGACTGTTGCGGTATTTTCGAGGCTACTTCGGCATTTTTGAGACTACATATTTCAGAATTTTCGAGATTATTCCGAGATTTTTGGTTTGTCGAGACTATTTTTCTGGGGATCTTCGAGACTACTTCGAGACTTTCGAAACTATTTCAGTATTTTCGGGTTTCTAGTAACTGTTTCGGGTTTTGCGAAACTAAATATATCAATATCTTATCAATAAAAAATCGATTCTCATATCGATAAATATATAAATTAAAAAGTCGATAAATCTATTCATATCAAGATCGATAATTACAACGAAAATTTGGAAATATTTCCGCAAATCCCGGGAGTGCCGAAATAGACTTGAAAGTTCCAATTTATTCCCGATAATCTCTATAATAATCCGAAATAGTTCGCAGTTTGAGGTGTTAGTGAGTTTAGGTGAGAATGAAGAAAAATGGTAAAAATTTTGTATTATTATTGGGAGTCTTCTGAAGAGAAACAGAGTTTTCCGGTCGAAAAATATTGATTTTCAAGAATTCTATACCATTTTTACGAAAGGTTTTTTTTTCCATATCAAATACATGGAAACCCTTGAGCGCTTTGAGCGGGGTATATAGAACAAGCCTAGAGGGTGACAGCATAAAAATTCCTACTTTACTTTTTCACGTGCATTTTTGGACCACCCTAATGTACATACATATAATCTGTATGTACAACATATAACCTAGCGATTGAAAGTGAGTTCATGATGATTTTTGACAAATATGTATTTGCAATGTTTTTCAAGTAAATTTTTTTTTGCTGTCTTCTATGTATCTACGTATATAAATACATGATCAATATATCGCTTAAACCAACTACGCTGGCGAACTGATACTTGGCACGGATGCATACATTTTAAATATCCTACTTAAGACGAAAACTGGGAGCTATTGGAAAAAGGGCCGTGGCACCTCCTATACAAAGTGAACATGTCCTCTGGAACCGCTTAAGCCAACGTACTGAAATTTGACACAGCTATGTATATATCGTCGTTTAAAGTACAAAGCCGCGTATTGTCATTCTGCAAAACCGCGTAATTGGCATTTGCTGCCAAAAATTGGATTTGCTCACACAAGCTCTTGCCTCAATCCTTATCCTTTCGTCCTGAAATATACCAGCCAGAAATGCGATTGCATTATAAAAAAGAGAAACGTTTTGAAATTTAAGTGTTTTTACTCTCTAGAAAATTATTTATGCAACCTCACATACGCGGTTTTGCATATTGTTGATACGCGGTTTTGTACTTTAAACGACGATATGTATTTAATACTGTGCTGAGATTCCACAGTTGTAACTAAGAACATCGGTAAAGCTCATGACATCGAATGCGATTAGAATTCAATATGGCATCATAGAGCTACTATTCTTGGCCTATGTGGCAGGAGGATTCTACTCTTTAGTCGTTTAAATTTTTTACCTTTATAGACCGTTTTTGCCTTTAAATGCTATTTTGAATTTTTGTAATTTTTGTACAAAGTGTGAAATGTGGATTTTATCGTGCTTGTATCAAAAAACAAAAGAAAAATAGCTAAAACTGGTCGGTAAAACTAAGGTTTGAAAGGCTTGAAATTTCGAAAATTCTGACTGAAACAAAGAGCAATCATTCACTTTTTGGTTTTTGACTACAATCAGGACTAAGAACTTAAAGTGAATATGGTGAAATTCAAAAAATGAGCAAAGCAAAACATAGCAGAAAACAAAAAATTTTTATTTTCATTTGAAATTTTGCTTTAAACTGTACACCCACTGTTTTTGGCTTTCGTTTATCTTTGCGTTTTACAGCTGCTTTTTTTTTGTTTTACATTTTATTGTTCTTAACTTGTTGTTTCTCCAGTATTTTCTTTACGCGTGGTGATTTTCCACAAATCGATGTTGATACATATTTAAAAAAAAAAAATTTTGTGGCGACTTTTGGCTTTGGATCGCACTTACGCACATTTCCAATGCCTTTTTAAAGAATCGATTTGTTCGAAAAATATACTCTGTGGGCACCTCGTCCGCGACCGCTGTGAAGGCCATTGTTCAGTTTTTTTTTTTTTTTTTTTTTTTTTTTTTTAATTTTTACTACTACAACTCTTTTATTGCTGGCGTTCCTCTGTAATCAAAGCAAATAAATTTACTTCCTCTTTTTGCACTTCTTCTTTCTTATATGTACATACATACAGTGACGAACAAAAGTATTGGCACAGTGAATTTTTTGCAATGTATGCAAAGTTTTTTATTTTTTTTTCGATAATTTTTTGTAAAAATTTAGTTCATTCTTCACCAAAAAAAACAAAAATAAAATCTCTAAAATTTTAGGCAATCTCAGGAAAATTTAATAAATTTGCAACTTTCTATTCAGATTTTTTAGAAAAATTCTTAGTATGCAGTTTTATAGCTGATCCAATTTTAGTCTAACAAATTGCAAGTTTGAAGTATTGATTTTTGACAATTATTTTTTTTCACTCAGGTTCTTCCATACAAAATATGTTCCGACAATTATTTTTTGCATGGAGCAAATGAGCAACATCTTCCACTAAAAAATTGCCAAATATGAACGCAATTTTCTATGGGCTATATACTGCATACAGAGAGATTTTTTTTTTTTAAATCTGAATATAAAGTTGCAAATTAGTGCGCAAATTTTTAAAATTTTCCTGAGATTGCCTAAAATTTTAGAGATTTTATTTTTATGTTTTTTTGGTGAAGAATGAACTATATTTAAAAAAAAAAATTATCGAAAATAAATTAGAATAAAAAACTTTGCATATATTGCGAAAAATTCACTGTGCCAATACTTTTGTTCGTCACTGTATGTATGTATGTTTATATGTATATATGTATATCGATTATCTTTGGCAATAAATTTGCTATGCAGCTATTCCATTAAACATTTTGTTGGTTTTTGTCTTTATACCAATCCATGTATGTATGCATGTAGTTGTGTATACTGCTTACTTAAGCCGCTTTATTTGTTTTTGTATTTGTAAGCTGAACTTGAAATTTTTAATTTGTGTTTGCCTTTGACGGTTGTTATAACACAAACACGCCATATCATCGTTCTAAGTAACTAAACAAATAAATTGTAGTTTGAGATTCAATCCGTGCGTGAAATGAAATTTGTGTGTCATAAACAAGTATTTATTTATACTTTACTGTAAAATAAAATACTCATAGATTGTCTGCACAGACGCGAGGTAGTTTTTTTTTTATGAAAACTATTTTTCTTGATGCTTAAATTTTTTGTTGTTCAAGCGGAAACGGAAGAATTATTTCCAACCGCTTGCTCTACAGTTGCCTTTGCTATCGTATTTTTGGCCATAAATAAATA